AAATCGAACCCTTTAACACCCCATTGCAAATAAAATGAGCAGTCAAGTGTGAAATATGAGAAGAGAAGCAAACGATACAACTTGATTTACAAATATAGTCATAAGTCCACCTTAAAAAGGAAGACAGCCATCATGCTGATTTCAGCAGAAGTGAACTCCACCCACCCCCCTCTTACCCTGATGATCCTGGCAGCCTCCAGCATGATCCGGCCCCTCTCCATTCCAGACAGTTTGCTCCACTTGAGAAAGGCAGCCTGGGCACTCTGCACTGCCTGGTCGACCTCCTGAGCTCCACAGGGCACCATCTCACACAGCACACGGCCTGCAAGAAAGACTCCATTAACAGGAGCAAGGCATCCATACAGGGGCTCACTGCAGGAGACAAAACACCAGCTGCCTCCATTTACAACTGTCAGCACACAGACACTGCACAGTACACAGACTGTGCAAAGAATACACCAAAGACACATACAATATCAGCTTTCACATGCGTGGGAAATTATAGATGCAAAATGCAGAGAACGTCTTGCATGCTACCACCATGTCCTGAATGTAAATTAGGTCACATCACACACTTGCTCTCCCATTTAGATCGGGAGAAATTAAAACATAGCAGCTTTTGAACAGCATTCAAAATACAATACAATCACTGAATCGAGACCGAATCAGGAATCCAGAACTAAGCCTGGGACCAAGCCAAATCAATTCCTTCCACAGATACTTCATTATACTTAAATGTTCTCTCTTGCCTGATTAAACAATTCTAATTGAAAAAATGGGAGGAACACCTGTTCTTTGGTTGTTAATACTGACAGATATCAGTGGACAACACTTTACTGATGTACTTCCCCGAGTTTCACATGTAGTTGTTTAATATCCAGTATCTGCATTTTATAACATGAAGAAGTCATAGTTAATTTATTGTGAGTGTGACATGTTGCAGTGCTAGTTGCTAGAACAAAGATCATCTTTGTTTCTACCACAGTTAAACACAAGTACTGCACAAAGTTTCCCTGATAACTGCTGAGTGCGACACAGAAAGGTTGCATTAAAATCAAAACGTTTAAAGTTTTAATAATAAATTTAACAAACAAAAGTCCCACGTGCCCTTCGCAGTTTGTTCTCAAGGTAACATTTGTATTCATATTGTAAATCTGCTTAAGGCCTGCCTTATCAGGCTATGTCTTTATAAGTTATAAAAGTACAAGTGTTCTATGCTTATGTTGTATTCAGAGAACGTTTTATAATGCCTGGGTTTGAGAAAATAAATTACAATTAAGAAAACTATTCATTATGAGAACGCTAAACCTGCAGTACCTACTTTGCAATTTTTACACATACTGTAGCTTAACCAGTTTTGTGGTATTTGTTGCTGATTTGGAAATAACTTTTTTTCAAATCACACAAATGTTCAGAGGTTTAGACCATATTACCGGTTGCGGGCTCATACACCGGCTCTCTGGATTTTGCGTCCTTGGTTGAAGACTTCACTCTGCCTCCGCACCAGAAATTTAGCGGCTCCTTCAACTCCAGCGTGCCCGTTGAGGCGCTCCGGATCACGGCAGAAGGCAGGAGCCCAGTTCGGAGAATTTCAAGGCCAGCCTGGGCCGTGGAACTGCACTGTTGCATCATCTTCGGTAGCGTAAAAGTACAAGTCAAAGAGCTCCTGTGAAGAAACCACAACACGTAATATAAGAATATAAAATATAAATATCAGTTGCATTAGTCGTATGAAGCAATGCATTTCTAATTTAATGTTAAAAAACAAAGAAGTCGATCGTTTCCGTTCCTAAGGGTTAAATAATTGTACGCAGTCACTTAACAGCAACTCAAAAACGTTTCTGCACAAATTATTCATGGTACTGTCGACAATGTTCCATGTTATGTTTCTAACTAGCAATGTAAAAACTTAAGCGATGGTTCCGGAAATAAAACCGCACTGCGTGTACATTCTATGCACAGGTTAAAAGATAAAGACTATTTGTCAAAATAAAATGATTTCTAAATCCAAAAATAACACTTAATTCACGGTACGAAAAGCCAGAATCCGCATTGCTGCAGCCATTTCTTCGTTCCGAGACGTACAGAAACTTCAGGAGTTGAACTTGTGGCGCTATCAAACGGCAGCCAAGTTACTGTACATTCATTTGCAGATTATTCCGATTGCACGTACTGTAGTAAAGCATTAAATATTTTTTACCTTATGGTTCTTCCAGATTAAATTTAGTACCCCAGTACTTTCTGTCTATATAAGGGAAAAACAATTGCACTTTGGTCCGTTTCTCTTACATAAGGCTCAGTAGAGAGAATGGGTAGGGAAACTCTGAACTCTATAGTGAGGCTTGCAGAATTTTATTGGTTTGGGAGAAAAATGTAAAACAAAGCAAGCCACTTCATATACATTATTAAAATTTAAGCATGTTTGCGCTCGACTAAATACATCCTGCAATGTATCGGTGTATTGTATTTACGCAAACATAAAACCCAGTTTAGAGTTTTTAGTAGTATATTATAGTTACACGTTCTTCAAAAAATCTACGCATTTGACGTTATTCCCCACACTTATCAGAGTACGCGTTTTGTTAACGCCCGCAGTTTTCCACATTGGACGTTCAATGGACTATTTCGAAATAAAATTCACTTTCTTAAAACTGTTCTTTCACAACATCTCTTCTGCATGGTCATTACTAATGTACAAAAGTCTAAAAGCTTAAAATCAGCCGCGCATATGCGTTCAGGAATACGGATTTTATTTTAACCACTATTTTAGTGTATTGGCAAATCAAATGCACTTACTGTACTACATTCAATCACGGGCAATTTGTCGGTGTCAGTGTCTCTGAACGTCTGCCAGAAACTAGATCTTTTTTGGGTGTTTAAAATACACAGAAACCAGTTTTTGTAACCCTGTCTGTAGATGGCTCTGTACTTGAGCTTCAATCAAAATTGAAAAACCTT